TATATTTTTGCCGGAAAAAGTTAACGTCTTAACTCAAATGATTCGTTTTCTCGACATTGCCTACTTATGGTGAGATTCTTTTTGTGACATATTTTGTACTAGAGTTACCCATGACAATGCAGTGGTGACCACGTTCAAGAATAACCATGGTCGTTTTCTCCTCTTCACTGGGCCTTGTGTGAAATACCTCGACCTCTCTTTCTCCGCTCACAATCTTCACAATGCCATTGCCACTGTTAAGTTTAATTACCACAGCTGCAACATTTGCATCTGGTCCCATTACCCTAGGCGCCGAGTGGATCTTCCCTAAGATGGCCACTGGTTTGCTTGTGGTCCATCCTTCGATCACGCAGTCGCTGAACGATGTCTAAAAGAATCAGCAACCTAACAATCTCAGCCGATTAGACGAAGTTATTGTGACCATACAATTTTAGCGAAATGTGTTATGAGGCCCTCATCTTCCTCGGCAGTATGTGTCACATCCACAGTTTGCAATTGCTCCATTGTAGTGTTGCTGCGAAAGGGCAGCTGTTTGCGCTATTCATTGATGGGAAGACGTTGGCGAGTTTTCGCGAATTAATTTGGTATCGAGATTACATTCAGGCTAGTCACGTAAACTGCTAGGATTGCCTTATCGCCTAAGTCCCCAGAGGAGTATTAAGGCTAGACATTTAGCGAACGAGTTATGTATTAGTGCTTAAAATGCTTCCTTACTAATGACTCCCAGGCGGGTTCCACTGATTCCACCAGTCCCTTCTGTTGCCCCGCTTAATCAAGGAAATTCCATGTAGTTGACGGCGGGGAATTACTAGCGCTTGAGCTGATCTTTGCCACCTTCGGGGGTCGGCGGGCCACTTTGCCCAACTCAAATGAAGTTCTCTTTTGCTGTCCCCACGTCTCTGAAACTTTCCTCCCACCCACTCTTCCAATGTCACTGTATCACCCAATGAATGCAGCAACCTTCTACTATGATGATTTCACATATTGGACTGTTGTGATGGGGAAAACATGAGACAGCTACGCGGAGGACGACAGCATTTGATCAGGTACTGGGTGTGAGATGTTGTTCTGCTCCGCTACTTTCTTTTGAATTCTATTCAGCGCTGAATTCAACCTATCCGTGACCCTAGTACGGACTTGTCAGCCACACATCATTATTTGCCGTTCATTTGTTGACTCGCACCACACCTGAATCAGAATTAAATCGTTCGTCCCAATCCTTTATAAGAAAGTGCATTGATAGATCCGGTGCACTCAAAGACAACCCATTTGAAAGCGGCTGGCTAAACCCGGACCCTTTTGTCTCACTGGACACAGTGGACAGCTCCCTCATACAGTGACTGTTTAATACAGCGGTATTCTACCCCCGCTGTCTTTGTGCTGACTCTCCGCAAAAGCTCAGGGCCAAGTTGCGGAGAAGCACATAAGAATCAAGATCAGCGCTAGAAATTTGCGAAGCAACCAGGTATGGGTTCGAGCTGCACAATAACAGAAATGGGATCGTGCATGCTCCAGAAAAAGTGGCAGAAAATATTGTTTTCGGGATTCGTTTTCAAACCTCGCCCCACAACAGAGTCATGGTTGCATCAATGGTCGGCAACCAATCTCCATGTATTGAACACTAGAACCAAAGTTAAGTTTTGGTTGGCGCTAGCTCGTCGAAATTATCTGAGACAGGGCAAGGCCGATTTCTGCGAGATTACTGTTCTAAGCCCCACTTCCCGGTAAACAAAATGCTCTCCAGCGGTGTTCTGTTGTGACAAGTACCTTAGCCCCATAATGTCGCGTTGTGTCGATTCCAAGAAAATACCGTGCGTATCAATATATGAAAGGGCTAATAGTAGGCAACATTTTATAGACATTATATTTCTTCGAACCTGTCATCCATTGTGGACTTAAATAAGCATGTGGAACAGCAAGTGGGTGTTGTACAACAGCACAAGCTAGGGACGTAAGACCCAGTTTATTCAACAAAATGAGCTCGCGTTCCCCAGTCAAGCCGCATTATGATTTGCGCTGGGAAACTTGGCACCACACCGCCTATTGTTTTTCTTTTTTTCTTTTTTGTGTTGTCTTCTTTTCCCCCCAAATACTTACTTTTCAGAGACACCAATTCGAAAAGTCTCGCACGCCATTTCTTGCTTGACCTCACTGAGCTGCCTCAGCGATCAGTGGGATCCCCACGGGTGCCAGTCGAGCAGAGTGGGCCCCGTCGCTCAGTCAGAGTGGCAGGGGCTCATCTATCGCGAGACCCGTCTATCTCTGCACCGCTTCGCCGGTCGGCACGACTGAATTCCACTCAGCGTATGTGATTACAATTTACAATGATCGCGCGACGGAAATGGGAAATCTGTCAATACACGTGACTGCACATGACCAGACGCTGGCATTCGGACCAGCAACAGAGAGACATGGAGTTTTGGAGCAAGCTTAGCAACCAAATGAATGGAATCCTGATCGTTTGACTCCAGAGAACTACGCGACTGTTTCATGTTTGCAAGTGCTATAAATGAGCTTCAAAATCCCTTTGGGAGTTTGCTTCATTCTAAAGGTCATAGCTCGAAGCCGAGTGCCAGTAGATCAAAGCGCACATACCTAACGGCGGCGGCCAAAGTAATGCCGACAGCGAGTTTAGCCGAGCCTTGTGGAACGCGAAGACGGACCGTGCTTGGCAGAAAAACAGCTCGCGGGTCGGCTGGCGAGTCTCGACAATTTTATCCGTACCGCCTCACGACGTAACAAAACCAGCGCATCTCTATTAATCGACAATCATCGTTAATCTAACTCTGAGAACTGATACATTGATCCTGAAAACGCCAAAAGCAATTCTAGGAGCTGTTTTGTTCTCTGGGAACCCGTCTTTAGCTCCTGGGGCCATTTCTCGTTTCCAGGAAACCGAGTTCTACCCCCTGGGATCTCCACTATACGATCCTGACCGGATACAAACTGGTTTTGGGAACACATTGGCTGGATCTGGGAGCTGTCGCGCTCCTGGGACCCTACTTCTGGATCCTAGAGTCAATATTCTGCCCTCTGAGATCGCGGAAATCCCTCACAAGATACCTTCACCAGACATGCGCGCAAATCTCCGTAATTCGCTACTCTAGGAAAGGCTTAGTCATAGCCCCAGGAACCGCGCTTGAGGTTCCAGGAGGTGATGAACTAGTCAACAGGAACATGACTTTGGTTCCGCAAGGGGGAGGCACTAAACCCAAAAGGCTCCAATGGGTTTCCTGGAAGCTATGTGGCTCCTAGAGGCACCTTCTATGCTCCCAAACTCTGCGCTAAAGCACCCGGGAGCAAGATAGCTCCCAGGATCAAGCCGTCATTCTGTCGGATATACATGCAGTATACAGGATGTTTGGAGAAATGATCTGCGGGACTCACATGGTGCATACGGGTTCCTCCGACCGCGAGGAAGCCTGTTCCTTTTGCTTCCTGTAGTAACGGACGTTGAGAGACGAAGGCTTGGGTAGCAAATAGGATGCGCTACGTCTTGTATCTAGAGTCGAGGATAGTTTTCTTTAATATTGACTATTTATCTACGTATACGTGAGATCTTCAGTCTCTTTCGGCCATCCTGGGAACTGAAGTTCGTTCCAAGATATAAGCCAAGAGCCCCAGGAGTCGACTCGCTCCTGGGGCCAATGATTGCATTCCCAGCTCCGGTCTTACTGCTCTCTGAGGTTGCCGAAGCTCTTGCAAGACACTATCGGCTCGTAGGTGCTTGGATTTTACCTCTACGCCATCTGGCTAACAGGGCAAAATACCTTTCAGCGACAAGACTATTAAACATGCTTGAGCTCTGCCAGGGAGAATGGGGTAAACCACCGAGCTAGAACCTTCCATAAGCCTCTCCGTAGAGAATTACCGAACAAAGCAGAGCACAAAGTAGTGCCACTGTTTACGTTTAAGCTGCATCCAATAAGAATCCTCCTCATTCATTTGGCTTCAGTTTCGTACCAAACTCGCCAGAAGCTAGACTGAGAGAAAGTGTTTTCTCAATCGTTCTTCATCTAACCATTGAGCCATTTGACAATAGTCTCGCGTGACCTCCGAAGCGTGGCACATAGGAGTCCCACGAGATGATTTTGTTTAGAGCCAACGTTAGGAAACTAAACCTGGCCAGCTCAATACGCTAGACATACCGCGGAAGTGTGCGCTTATGACGGCCAAAATCGTGAACAGAAAGAGTGTTCAGACCGTAGGAGTAGAGCTCAGCAGATTGTTGAATATCTCGATTATTGCTTACATGTATCAGGATCGAGAAAGATACAGACCTCGACAACAAAAAAAAGGCGATGATGATCATCCAGGCGGGCGGCGTCAGCTATCAAACAGCGGTACTGGGCCTTTTAACCCTAGGTGCGGTTTTTAGGTTTACATTTGTGTTGGCATCGTAAACAAGTTTTGAAAACGATTGCATGGACAACCTTCCTTTTCACTAGTGTAGGTGAACTTGATTTATTTATCCGTCTTTTGTGTTGTCAACGCTCTATCAGATTTCGGTGGCCTCTATCCGCTGACCAAGAGGGAAAAGCTGATACACAAATTCTGGTCTCAAGATTCTGACTCTTTTTTATTTTTGTCAACGCCACTAAACCTGAAGACTTCTATGCTATCATTATGTCCTGAAAAAAATCAACAAACATTTTTGAGGCAATTGGACAATATTCCTCCTTCGGCGAGGGAACATGGTCGGACTCCAAGGAGATTTTGGCTTATAAATAGCTCAAAGACTTTCCGCCAGAAATATAACGACCATCATTCTGCTCCAATCTCAAGGGCACTGTAGAAGGTTCACGTCATGGTCTCCAATGCCAACACTGCGGGAGTGAAGAAAACGTCCAAGAGTGAACCCAAGACAGCCAAACATAGCCAAGAGAAGCTGGAAAAGCTCATTGATGAGGCACAAAGCGGAGGGATTTCCAATGGAGAGGGCCCGAGTGCTAGCGAAAAAGTAGCTGCTGCACCCGGACCACGTTACCTACAACCGTGGCATGCTCGGTGGCTTCCGCCAGGTCATCCAGAATGACGGCGCCAGTGCGCTGCTGATAGGCTTCGGTTCTACCGCCGCCGGCTACTTCCTCCAGGGCGCTTTCAAGTTCGGAGGATACGATTTCTTCAAGCAGCAATCTAACAACGCTGTTGGCTACGAGAAGGCGAAGAACAATCGTACTGCGGTCTACCTCGCCTCCGCCGGTGCTGCCGAATTCTTCGTGGATATTGCACTCTGCCCTCTGGAGGCCACTCGTATTTGTTTGGTCTCTCAACCTACTTCCGCCAACGGTCTAATCCCTGCGATGGGTCATATTATGAAGGAGGAGGGCATTGGCGCGTTCTACTCCGGCTTCGGGCCTATCCTTTTTAAGCAGTATGACTCCCCACAAGGCGTCTGAGATTGTCACTGATTGAATTCTCTACAGGGCCCCCTACACTATGGCCAAGTTCGTTGTCTTCGAGAAGGTCTCCGAGACTATCCTTACCAAGGTCAACAAGGAGACTCTCTCCGATGGTGCCAAGACCGGAATCAACCTTGGATCCGGTCTGATTGCCGGCCTTGCTGCCGCTATCATTTCCCAGCCCACTGATACAATGTTGTCTAAAATCAATAAGACCCAGGGCGCACCAGGTGAAGGCACAATCAGCCGCCTCATCAAAATCGGAAAGGAGCTCGGCATTCGCGGCTCTTACGATGGTATCCGAGCCCGTCTTTTCATGGTCGGTTTCATTACTGCTGGACAATTTGCTATCCACAGTGATATCAAGCGTGTCCTTGGAGCCACTGGAGGTGTTGAAATTTCTAAATAGAGGGTCGTATTCTGATCGTGATCCTTTATGGTCTATGGCCCGATTTCGATGCCAATTTTGTCCCTCTCAAAACTGTGATGTACAATACTGCTTCCAGAAGGCTTTTCCCTAGAAAAGTACCTCAAAATGTATTTGAGAATGAAGATGCCTTTCAACGAGAAGACATTCATCCACTTTGTCACGGATGATTTCCCTCTCTTTTCATCTTTTCGTCTGGTAGGTGGGGAATTGTAGTCCTCTATGTAATTGAAATAGACTCTCAGCGTGAGACCTTTTCCACGGCAGAAATGACTCGACCATATCCTGAGTTGCCTCTGAATAGGGCACTAAACTGTTTCCGTTTTGTTGAAACGCTTGTTTAGATCACGTTGGGTACGGATCTTCCAAAATACTGAACTGGATGATTCGCGGGTTTCCCGAACTCTGAGCTATCACATCCCTCAAAGAGCATGCTGCATATGCCGATAATGCCATGCAGATAAATTTTGCTGCGGCTGCTTTTGACGTACCCACTTCGCCGTCGGGGCGAGCGAGTTTGTGAGTGGCAGCCGGGGAAAAGCCGAACAGGAAGTAGACTTTGGTGTTGAAGATGGTAGTAGATGTATCTAAGTTTGAGACATCGCGGAGGGCCCAGGACCGAATCTTGCATCGGTTGTATGCTTTTTTGTTGTCTCGGACACTGTTTGTATCAATCGCGTGGCTGCATTGGACGGGGGAGCCCTATCTCCAATACTATCGCACAGGAGGTCTTTCAGCTACCATACTGATCAGTGCTGCAGACATATGGAACATAATTTTCTGGCACTGTTCTTTTTCTAATTCTTCTGAATGGCTTCACAGTGTTCTTTCTTGGCCATTGGAGCCTTTCGACCTTCATCATATGTTGGAATATCTATATTCTTGATATCCTTCTTGGGCTACAAAACTTTGATTGAAAGAGATGTTCCATGGTGGATTCCGCCTGTTGAAGTTGATCTGCAAACCGGTTTACTTGAGATCGTCGAAGGGGAGACTCCTGTTCCCGTGCGAGCACCGGGAAAATGGTACAACAGCTTCAAAGAGGTATTGGTATGAATATTGAGGGTATCGCATGTTTAATTTACCTTTTTTTCTATTAATATAAATCCATCCATAAGACTTGCAACCACACGTGGAATTTAATCTACATATCGACGTGCTTTGCACAACTCGATCATATCACTCGGAGCTTGGCAAGATTTAGGAATATATAAATTTATTTCTTTCTACAGAAAAGATTAGCTAGCATTGCAGAGCCTCTCAAGTGATACCGCCAACAAATAACCCCACTTTAGGATCATTTATTCGTTTAACCAACGGAAACTTTCATCCATAAATTTGACACAAGAAGACGGATTGTCCAGACCAGGCAAGTCCTGCTTGATCTTGAACCCCCTTTGAGACAAGAGCCACCCAATACACTTGTAGCTTTCCCTCGACCCAGGGGCAAAACCGAAGTCAACTGGCGCAGAGGGCAGAACTGAGGTAATACTATCGCGATCATATATAGCCTCCAACGTCAACAGTTTCCATTCGCCGTCGAATTTCTCCAGACGAGAGATGAAACGCGTGAACGAAAGACAGTCATACTGTTTTCCTTGATACTCAAACCGAATCAAGATAGACCCAGTGGATTCAGTCAGAGCCTTGTCTCCGTTCAGATGGATTTCAATGGGACAGATTGTATGTACTGCTCCCGTTCCACCAGTAGCCATCTTTCTCGACCCATTCACGAAACCATCGATATCTCCTTGGAACCTGGACACAGGTCAGTAAATATTGCAGCAGAGGATGAGATTCGATTATAGCTACCAACTGATCTCGACGTGTGTCTTCGAAGGGTCTGGGTGGTAGCAGCTGCGAAGCTTCTGCCATTGGTCGCTATCGCGATAATACCGCTCCTTCAAAAGTAAGGATTTGATGAAATATTCATCCAAAAACTTTTCGTTTGCAGATGCCATTTTCTTGTTTTTGTTCAATTTCTGCTTTGTGTGTGTGGCAGATGGAGAACCTTCAGTAGGTAAGTAGGCGTTGAGGAAGAAGAATAAAACCTGAATGGCCTGCTGGACCACTGGCAACTTACAGCTTAAATCTCGCAAGTGAATCAGTAAGAATAATACAATAAGGGAAAGGGAATCGGATATACAACCATATATACTGGGTCGGCTGTCGCGGATGTTGGTGGCTATATTCAGATATCATTTATATTTACGCAATTGGCGACCATTGCCGTGATTTCCGAATGGTGAAGGAAATTCAAATCTGGCCCAGCCAATTGAGCGGGTTGAACTTTTATCTCCTCTTTTGAAATATACCCGACCAAAAAGAGTCGGAGTTTCCACTTTCGCGGCACCTAATCGTAACGATGACCTTTGAAGTCCCACTTTGACATCGGTCCCACAGCCATGCACTTGGAATTCTCCAATCAACTGAAGAGAGGCTATAATTTCAAAAATCTGGGCAACTGGAGTCGCATAGTCATAATCGAGGATGTGGCTGACTATAACCCGGAAATATCCATGGATGAATGACATTAAAGTAGGTCAATGACAAGCTTGGTAGAATCACTGTGTTTTGACCGCAATGAATTGATCAAAATGAAAAATCCCGGCTCTCAGCGTCCCACAACGATCTTCAGGAACGACAAATGTGTGCGCGGAATCAAGTGATTTGCATAATCAGTTCCGATCATGGAAGTTCAGTTCCATACAATAAGGGTTGCTGTGGGGAAGCAAGTTGCGCTAGAACCGGCATTAGAGTGTTAAAGCCGGTAATTTAAACCACTTTGGGAAACCGTTATTACCGCCTAACCTGTTTCGGAAGGTCGCTTGAACCCTTGTTGGTACTAGTCAAGGCACTGGGTATGAGCAATTTGATATTTCTAAAGAGGATAGGAAGCAGTCATTTTATACTTGAAGTTCTGATCGAAATAGACGATGTAACAGTGAAAGTTGGATTTCTAAATTTGATACGAAATTACAGTCATTCGCAGAAAGCGCGTCAAAATATAAAATGCGGTGGCAATACCACTCGACCTCAACATCCGCTGCGGACTGCTCTCCTCAAAAAGGCCCAGGAGCAGAATTTGCCCGCAACCCGGACCAATTAGCACACTCTAGGGCAAAAGAGCAACACTTCATATACCAAGCTTTGCTCTGGAGGCTCAACTCAATGCAATGCGGAGCCATCGGAATCATCTCACTAGTGGCCTTCGGACTAGCGAGGAATGCGTCCTTGTAACTAGCCAGCAGTATGGGGGAATTGACCCAAAGCCCATCAAACTCCGCCAACGCATACATGACAGGAACACTGACACTGCCCGCATATTTGTGCCAATAGCTGAGCCAAGTGGTATTGATATCCTGTAGCTCGCCCAGGGGCACAGGTTGATTGAGACGGTCTGTATGGCGCTGCATTTCATAGTCCGTCACGTTTTGCATGGGAATTTGCAGCATTATAGCGTCTTTTGAAATCGCATCAAACTGCACACACCCTGTATCTTCGAGCGATAGATGAAGCATAGCTCCTCGTGGTCCCTCGGCCAACTCGGTGCCGATTCCAGACGTAATGAGTCCTGCCAATGGGTAGCCTTCGGTTCCCTTGTAGCATCCAGCCGTAATAGTGGCGATCATTGCTCCAATTGAATGCGACAGGAGGACAATTGTTGTTGCTCTTGAGCGTTCTCTGAAATGCTCCCATAGATGCGGCAGCACTGTGGAATTCAGAAATTTCCCCTGAACTTGGGCATAGGTTGCGTCTTCATCGCTGGAGTCCATTGGGGCAGGGGTACTTCCTCCGTAGCCAGGCCTGGTAAGGGCAATGGTGGGTATTCCTGCCCAAGCTGAAGTGCTGGCGACTGAGTAATTCTCGTCGACATCGAAATATTCAGCATCATAGCTACCGCCGGGAATGCAGACGATAAGTGGCAGATGGCTTGCCTTTTGAGAGGTGGTGGGAAATTTGAATCGACCAGAGACTGTACCTCCGTTCGGGAGGTAGATCTCAAATGCTTCCATGCTCATTGTCGTGTATTGAGTATCTTGGAGGTGGAAGTGAGGAACTGATAGAAGAAGTACGTGCCCAGGTCAGTTGGGGGTGGTAAGTCGAAGCCTTCAGAAAAATGAATGGGGTCAAATTGATAGCTAGCAAACGGGCAGGCCTCGCGAGGAGATCATTAAGTGTAACGACTGTTGGGGTATTTTTGGTACAGAGCACGAACGCCTGTGGATATGTCGAAAGTTGTGCCTGGTATTTCTTGGCATTGAGGGTCAAAAGCCAAGATGAAATATCCCTCCGAACTGCCGCAGTACAAAAAAAAGCGGGACATTGTAGTATCGAGGCGGAGATATCGGTTCCCAGAGCGCCGAAGCACCGAGATGGCAGTTTGTGGCGAACAGCTGAAAGGGACGTGCCCCACATGTAATTCCGTAAAGCCTTGCTTACCGTTAGATATACCGCCTTTTTTGGGATGGCAGAAACATCAAAGATTCAGACGCGTCGGCAGAAGGCGCAACGCGGTGTGCGAAAGACCTCAAGGTAGGTATATTCAAGATAGCCTACGGAATTTATCATGCAAGTGGCCTGAGTCGGTGAACTTTTTATTTTTACATTGTAACTTTGATGTAAACCTCTTCACTGCGAATTCGACGAGATTTCTTGGTCGTAGAACAAGAACTCATCAAGAGCACGACCAGCGGGAACCATTGGAAGAGTCAGGTAGGGGTGGATTCGAAGAGAATCTTAAAGGGTCTATTCGAATTCGAAAACTTTTTACGGCATCACTATTCGTATTCGACATGCGGATATTCGAAATGTTATTCGAAACTCCGCCAAGAAATTGACCGCGTAGGATAATTGGCTGACGCCCCCATGAATATACCCGTGATTTAGCGTGGTTTCGTCGCGTACTCTTTATTTACCACAAACCCCTTTTTCATATGGACCTTGTAACATGAATCAAGATATTCAAGCCTGTCTATCTTATCGCAATGGCTGATAGCAGTCTTTCTTCTTCACCTGCAATGGAAATTGTCTCTCCTTACATTCCCAGACAGTGTCGGCGATCTCAGAGAATTGATTACCATCTCTTGAACGATGGAAGTGACGATGAAGCGCCAACAAAAGACCGCATCTTTAAGAGACGTCGTTTGGGAACCCTGGAGCCCATAACACCGGATGATTCAGCGAGCCAATTGGATCAAGCCCGAAGCTCCCCAGTGGAATCGCTTCAGCAGACGGAGTTTCCTGTCTGCGGATGGTCTGAGATATCTCAGCGCTCTACACTATCAACTCGCGGCAGACCGCAGAATGACTCGCCGTTGGCGCAATTTATCATGTCTCCACTCCCGGGCAAATTCTGGTCACGGAAAAGGAGCAAGAGACCAGCCGAGGACCGAAAAATTCAATGCAGAAGATGTAACTGGCAAACTTCCGATTCTGCGAGAGCAACTTCGACTTCCAACATGAAGGATCATATTGCTAAACATGGGATTTTCCTCCACGGCACTGATGGTGCTGAGGATGGTGGCATAAAGCAGCAATCCATATTGGGATGCACTCTGTGGTATCCCGCCTTCGAATCATGAGCCTCTGGATCGCAAGAACGCCACAGAGAAAACAGCAATAGAAGGTTGTTTATCAAACACATCGATTGAATGACAAATTCATAGAGTATGATGTTGACCCAAGGTGGAATTCGACATTTTGAATGATCAGGGACGCCTTACAGGCAAAGCAACAAATCAAAAAGTGGATTGACAACCAAGCCTACCTTTCGCCCTTCACGACTGAAGACTGGGAGCGTCTCCATCAAATTGAGCTCATTCTTGCGAAATTTGAGGAGTTCACACTCACCGTTTCCAAGCGCCAGCCCCAGATCAGCCTTGCAATACCCATCTATCATGAGCTTCACGATATACTGAATGATGCTTCATCCAGGGAGGGAGAATTTTCTGGACTAAGTCCAGATATTGCTTCTGCAGTATCCTCGGGGCTGGACAAGTTCAAAAAGTATTATGAACTAATGGATGGACAAGATGCCTATTTCGTGGCCCAAGTTCTCGATCCACGATTCAAAACATTGTTGCTGGAAAAAGAGTTGGGCAAAGTCAGTGCGCCGAAGGTTATAAGTCATATAAAAGGATTACTTCATGAGCTGTATCCGCCGTCGCCTCGGCCGGACTCCACTGTCAGAAGTAGTCCGATCGAACCAGCAGCAAGAACGATAGAGGCCCGGATTCTTCAAAAATTACAGCCACCAAGACGTCAACTCTCTGGTATTGACAGGTACTTTGAAGATGGGGTTGTGACAGCTCAGGATCCGGCTGTACAGGACAAGGAGTGGCTTTTCTCTTGGTGGAGGGCTCATTGCCATGAGTGTCCACGCGTTGGCGCAGCTGCTAGGGATTATTTAGCAATTCCAGCATCAGAGGTTGCAGTGGAGAGACTCTTTAATAATGGTAGAGATTTGTTAGGTTTGAGAAGACACTCTCTACAAGGGGAAACAATGAGACGGCTGGTATTATTGCGGGATATATATAAATCGGATGGTTCGACGGTGAGCACGTGCTAGGTTTTGAATTTATCGAATAATTTTCGAATAAAGATATTGTCAACAAAAGAGGGTCGAAATGTTACTAGCGCGCCCGAGGAATATTCAGCACCCCCTCTGCCTGATGATCGTAAGACTCTCCACGACCTTACTAAGCTCATCCCCTATTTATTCTGCACTTTCCATAGTATATAGAAAAGACACTCTCAAGTACTCAATTGGCTATGCCCGTACTAGTCCGTACTGTAACGACCACGTTCCGACAGATATTTTTATTCGAAAAGATTTTAGTAAGCAGGAATATCCACATTATTCGATATTCGAAATCCACCGTGTCATTTGACGAGCTCATTGTATAGACAGAGCTTACAGTGGATTGAAGGTATATAGCGGGGCTGAGCTGGTCTTTTCAAATGAAATGTAACTGGGTATGTAGATATATATAATCTCCAAGGATCTCTGTGGCCGGTGTTAACGTTTCCAATGTCAGCACTCGCAAATAGGGAAAACAGGTTGAGTTACTTGCCTACGGAATAGCAGGCTTCTAAAAAGCCTATACAGACGGGTTTCACATTCCAGCATATGCCTGCAAATAATATGCCACTGTCCAGCATCGCCGATGAAGTGATGGCAATATAAAATCGACCTCTAAGCGTATTTCGGTAATACGATAACCACCATACCGGACAAAATATTATTCCGGATAAAATGCACAATATGAATAATATGAATGCGAATATGAATAATGCGTTTATTCGCATTCCTTTATTCCTTTCGGAACCCTACTCAAGACAGATGGCTTGAAGAGTTGTCCACCGAAGCACGTGATTATAAATCGGTCCTGCAGCAAATACAACCCAGAGTCAATTCCGATGACTCCAAGCTGATTACGAGTGTGCTGAAGAAGTATGAAACATCCAGTGGACATAGTCGACAAGGATCAAGGAGCGCCTATATACCCAGCCCCGAGCCCCCGCCAAATAAGCCACGCAGTAGCCATGATGCTATTTTATTTCCAAGAATACATTGAGGGAAGGGTTTCTATCTGGTCTTTTGTGCTCTTTGGCCCTGTATCTAAAAGTCGGATTACTCTCCGATATTACCCGAATACAGATCTCCAAGCACACAATATCGGAGATTTTCAAGAAGAGGACCGGTTGCATCCCCTGATGATTTGAAATTTACTCAAGAGAAGGCATTCACCATTCCCAGACCTCGTTGATACTGTACATTCAGTATCCATTTTGCTTTTGATTCGATAGAAAACAGCATGATTAGTCCTCTCATTGGAAGACAATCACGGGTCAGGGTCCTCAGCTAATCAGCCAATGTGTCTTTGATAAGGCCCCACACGCTGATATCCAATAAAAGCCACTACAGAAGCCCTGCTCCTTTAGCAAGCTATACAAGCTAATGAAATCATTCCTCACTGAACAGCGTCCAGCTAAACCAATGTCGACTCTAGACCATCTCAAGACTGGTCAAGACCTAGAATGTTTGGACTAGGAGAGAGGTTGTACTAAGAGCCATTTCATATGACGTGCAGCTTTCTGTGTCGTCTGTGCTCTTCAGCTGACCCTACTGTGACTGGCTTCCTCTCAAGAGGATTCTCCTATGAGCTAAGCCCTCTTGAAAGAAATATTGATTTTCTGCCTTCCAAGCCATTCTTTCTCTTGTAGTAGGCAGAGTAGATGGGATCTCAAAACAGATGGTAGTTCATTGTACCAAAAACTTGTTCATGCGTGTTCAGCAGTTATTAAGCATAACACTCAATTTATCAGAGGAACTAAGAAGTGAGATTATGGAACAAGTCGGGCCAGATATCAATCACCAATGCGATGGAGACGTTTTGCACAACTTAGACCGTAGTTGAAGAATGATCATTCCTCAAGAATTTTGTTCACCTCAGACTGAATTTCACTTGCTGATGACCCCGACCGCACAGTGGTGATGATGTGTTGGACGCTATCATTATCAGAATCTCGGATTGCCCTAAAAAAGTCGGCTAAAAACCTCTGATAGTGATCAAGTTCTTCTTCCATTTTACTTGCGTAACTTTTTCGTCGCTTGTCGGAGCTTATGTCGAATATGCAAACGGAGCCACGCTTCGTGAATTCCAAACAGGGATTCTCAGAACTGCACTATCGTTCGGGACACCAAACAGTAAGCAGCTGGAGATGCGCCGTGACTTGGGTTCCATACTTTGGTCCGCCGTCGTGACATTCCTTACAGGCTGCTGAGAGTCTTCGTGTTGAGTGATCTCGTACTACATTTTCCCTTGATTGTTCGTATGCTGAGGGATTGGTAGCCAGCGCATGAGGCCGAATAGGCTTGAACCTTGACGCAGACATTTGTATCGAGTGCTTGATATAAAAGTAGACGTATGAAAGATAATGAGGTCTGCGTAACACGGGGCGATAGAAATTCTTAGCATGACGCACATCACAAGACGTGGAGGGCGGTGGGGAAAGAGAGGGGCCGCGCGTGTCTATTTGGCGTTTTGCTGACTCAACATTCTAGACCCGCCTGAACATCTTACGAGTGTAACACAGGAGCTATTTTCTGGTTGATAGTTAAATCTGTCTGAAATACTGCCAAGAAGCAGGTACAGGGACAGATTAAGCACAATAGGTATGACGTGTTTTACAGCAAGGTTCGAGAAAGAATTTTTGTGAGTAAATGGTGGAACTGATTTCGATCCTCGATGTACCGCATCTTCTGTTCTTTACGACTGAGTATCCGAAAAAACTAGGGCATGGAATAGCCTCCGGTTTGATTTATGCTCAGTCTACAGTGTTGGCAATAACTCCGCACATTCTGGACCAATCTCACTTGCAGCTACCCAATATGTTATGCACAAAGTAGCGCAGCTAGCGGAGCAAGTGCCAAGTGACTCGAATAATGTAAAGGTTCCATCCGAGTTCAAATGGACAGTCGGAAGCTAGAGTCTATGGCGCCAAACTCATGCCAGGAGATTGTTCTAGCAACTGTCCGCGTACCCGACGGAGATTCTACTTGGCCGTCTCAACTCGGGCCAGGTAGAATAGATGCTCTCCTATACTTTCGCCAGATTTCCGGTCAATTCGCACTAGTCGAAACTCATCCCAGTGAACTTATTTAGGGAAAGCGAAAGCTGACATGTAGAGGAACAAGTCGCTGGCCTGAGTGGACATGGACAAAGGGTCTGGACCAGTCCATTTGAAGGCCGACAGCTTCTCGTCAGTGGATGGAAAAGGCATTCTATCGAGAGATACCCTGAAGTCTCATATCCTGCAGGCTCACCCTCATCTGAGAGAATTTCCCGAGCATAATCGGAGTTGGTGGCGAGCAGGGAGGTGGTGTCGGTGTACCAGAGCACACTTGCCAGATGCCGTGACATAGTTTGCCAACATTAACACAAAGCAACCATGAAAACAACGGGTACAGACCATTCTTGTTCAATTGGTTCATTTTTGTTCATAATTCGCCGTCGAGGGCTGGTGAGGATATACAGAAATGTTTAATAGTTATTCAGTGGGAGTTGGATCAGTTATCAAGCGTGTGTTTCGGTTGATGGCGTACTTTTGGGTAACTCGGTGGTTTTCCATAATGTTTGGTCTAGATTGGGATGCTATTCTGGAATAAGGCACGTCCGCACTGAGACGCGTTCTAGTCTAATGTCCACTAGCCTGATCAGATCTCCGTTTACTCTACATCGGGTAAATTATGCAACTACTGATATTTTGACGTTTTGTTGTAGACTTACTTGTATCCCATTGTGGTCTTTGGGGAATGTAATCAGAAGCAAAACGGACCACAAGCAAGGTTGTGGACTTAGTGGGTCAATTTGGGGAATGTATATGTTTTATATGGGAAGTGGTTGACAAAAACCCACATTTAGTGATACAGCCCTAAAGCTTATTCAATGCAGGGCTAATTTGCTCCAAAATTTATATAAAGGGCCAACCCTAAGTTAGATATCTTTTTACGCATCAATTATGTAGCTACTTGGGGCTTAGGAATTGGTACGACATATGTGATGTCGATCGTACGGGCGATCAATGACATGCATTACCCGACTTGATTTACCGTCTTCTCAACGGGGATTCAAAAGGGCAAAATTTTGCAAACCTCGAGTCGAATTCGTACGAATCGGTATTTACAATATTCATTCGATGCGATTCCTGCGACGGGGTAACCTATTAGTCCGTACTCATCCGCCCAAATTTCTGCGTGAGCTCTATCTCTTCAGCCTTGAGCTGATGCCCTACCCCGTACCGTCTCTGGAAATTATCAAAACCGGTTGGCTCCATGTGCTTAGACATCTGTTTAGCAAGAATCTCACTAGAAAGGACGTGGTCATGAGATGACTGTCTGATGGTGTCATCAGACATCTGGCCGAGCATAAGTAGTGATCTGGAGCCAGTGTTTATACGTTTCGCGGTTATCAGTTGCCCAATCGATGAAATGACGTATTGCTGAGAGTCATGGCCTGAGGTGATGTCTTCGAAAATGTTCGATTGGATTTCTTCCGAGTGTTTGGTCGCATCGGCACAGATGGTAAGGCACTGCGCAGTGCTGTTTCTTTCCTCTTGAATTTGCTGCATTGCAGCCGCATTTTTGCCAGATATATGTGCTGGACGTGATGGAAGCACGGTTTGTTGGTGTTCAAGTCTCTCGATGATGTTGTTGAATTCACTTGAGGTTGTTGCCAAGTCAGATTTAAAATCCCGGAGCAGATTACACAGGGCTTGCTTCGCCCTATACTGCATGTTCACACTCACTCCTGCGTTTGATTTGTCTGGCTCTGGACAGGTCTCCACTTGGGATCCGACTTTCTCGATGTGTTCGTAAAATTTGGTGCAGATCATGAGACACTGTTCTGTGCTTTGCTTCTCCTCTTGAAGTTGTTGCCACTCAGTTTCACCTCGCATATCGACGGAGGAAGCATTTTTGGAGAAAGATTCCAGTTTTCGGTCGAGCTCTCTCAAACGGTCCTCAAGATCCGACTTTGCGCAGCAAACCATCTCTTCCCATTCTTTGACGCAATCAGCAGTCACGGCACTTTTGCGGCTATTCCAATTGATTAGCATGATAGATCTATGATGAATGCAGTTTGGATCTCTTACAAAGTAGCACTGCTTAGAGCAATTGTGATAGCATCTTTGTGGCCAGCTAGCATATCTTTGAACTTGGCAATGCTGTCGCCTCTGAATTTCAAGGAAGTATAAGCGCCAAATGTTGTACCAGAGCGTTCCACACATTTCGTGACTATTTTCTCGAGTTCTTGGCAGGCTTTGCCGCATTGTCGGAGCGGGAGTTCCAAAACTCTCAACTCTTGGTGATAGTCTGCGGCCACTTCATGCACGGACTGGAGGACCACACAAAAGGCTTCAAGTTCTTTTTTCAACTCTCGGATTTCCTTCTTGCTTGTTCGGAGGCCATCTATCGCTTTGCCGAGAGCCAGGGAGCCCTGCAAGGCAAAGCCGATGAGTCCCACGATACCCGTAGTGATAGAGAGAGGATCAGCCATGTTTTCCGACAGAATCCAAGATTGAAGAAAATTGTGTGACGTGAAATACAAAAACAAAGGTTTTGTATTGGACGAGGGCTTTGAGGCGCCACGCAGAGAAATAAAATTGTTGTGCAATTGACGTTCCGGGTAGGTATAAGTATTTTTTCTCTTTAACGTCCTCGTATGATAAATCATTAGTTATCACAGGTGTAGAACTAATTTTATCAGACTAAGTGAAACGTGAGGTTTCACTTGGCGCGCGCGAATGCCAACCGGATTTCTGGGCAAGCATGGGATAAAAATCTGACATGCTAATTTGGTCAAGCCTTGTACCGAGCAATTTTGGTTTCTTCGGTTTCTATGCAACGCTCCCGGCGAGACAATTTTGTTTTTTGAGGCTCAATCCGTGTCAAATCAACTAACTCTCTAAAAGTACCTAAGGGAAAACCCGCGGCATGACAATTATATTCTTAGCACAAAATGCAGACACCGCCGTAAGGCTACAAGTTTCATAGATACAGTCAAAAACAACCCAATTTCAAGTCAAAAGTGGACGGAAGTCAAGGATAAGATAGACTTGTTGCCTCTTGTATGCTCTTCAACTCGTATCCTTGTCTAAGCTGGGAGGTGATATAACACTTAGATTAGTCATGGCGACACTCTCGAGGAGTTTGAGTAGCATATTTGAAAAGCCTGTATTTTTTTGCCCAACTTACGACCAGATCCGTGTACTTCGAATTTCTCTGAATGTTGTTGGCGCTTGACAGATTTCTTCTCGGCGTTGCGGCAGCGGTCTGTTGAAATCTGCTGAAGTGTAGAGTCGGACGCATCCCCAAGAAACTATATTGTGTATGCCTTGGCTGACACCGACCGAGCTGCGTTGTATGTCCGTTTGAAGAGCCAATCAATTGGAACACATCCTCGTCTGCTATGATATCTTCAAAGAAATACCATGTCGCTCCTTGTCTCGTCCCGCCATGAGAAAGTTATGATCCTGTCGCTCTTGAATATCGCGCGGTTGTGCGGCATGAGGTGGAGTTTTAGGTGCTGGCGGTTAGATAAAAGATTCGTCTTTAGTGGGGTACGTGATCCCCCACGCTTGCCAGGGCTGACTGGTTAGTCAGCATTCTGGCTGCCTCGGGCAGATGACATTTTATGCCTGAGGCCTCAATTGCTACTGCGGGTAGATAGTCCATTGAGCGTAGGCCTTGGTATGACATTAAGTAATTACTGCTTTGATGTATCAAGCCTCCCATCAAGTAGGTGTGACGAAGTCACGAAAAAAGCAAAACAAAACTTACGCGCCGCAAGCTCCCTAATCATGGAGACCGTTCCACGCTGACAATATAGATTATAATGCTCGACAGGAATGCGCCTCGGACGCGCGCCAGGCGTTTGATCCCTGTCCGAACTAAGTTCCATCAACAGGAGGATGAAGGGTGCGTACAAGGGGCTGATGGCAATAACTCTGGGATCACTGGAAACTAAGGGACCCTTTTTGGGCAGGATTATAGAATCATGTGACAAAAACCCGGATATATCTATTTTTCCGTTGGGGACCTTGGGTAGCAACGGAAGCTCATTTGAACGGTATTCGCGCCCGCGCGGTTTTCCCCGCCGCATCGCTATGGTCAGCCGCCCGCCCCATCGAACGACCTCGACAGCTATCCATCCCCACCATCAACCCGGCGCCTATAATTCACCCCTGATTGGGTGTCCCATTCCAGTATTGAAATATAAAGTACTGGCAACAACCACCTCAAAAGCTCCGCAGCTCAACCTTAGTTTTTTATCTTGCAACTACAATCATGGCTGAACCAGTGGGGCTAGCCTCCGGATTAATTGCCTTGGCAACGTTACGCTCTACGAGACTGTGAACAGTTTCCGCTCCCATCCAAAGCGCGTGCGTGACCTTCTCGTCGAGCTGGAAGCTTTGGGTGCCGTCTTGGCTCCACTCGTCGATCTGGTAAATTCGACCTCTGACGTTGATCTCTCGGCCCTGGACCTACCGCTGTTGCGATGTGGCAGTGCCTGCAAAGAGTTTCAACAGGAGCTACTCCGGTGCGCGTCGCGATCAAACAGTAATCGAACGAGCTTCCGGGACTGGGCCAGGCTGACGTACATGGGTGACGATATGGACGATTTTCGCGACTTGCTGTCAGGATACAAAGCCACGATCAATATTGCCTTGACCGATGCAACTCTGTAAGTTACGTTTAACAGTAACAGCGCTTTCTACTGTGCTGAAATCGGTCTTGCGTTCAAACCTAATTGTTCACCAGACGCAAATCCGCGATTGCTGCTGAAAGCATCGGCGACTACGAGAATCTCATCCAAGATGCCAAAGAAGACCTCGAAGCCCGACTCGAAAGGATTGATAGGAAGTTGGAGCACCTAGTCGTCCACGATGCGGCTCAGCCCGGACCAGATGCGGCCGAGCTGCAGTCACTCAGGGAAGAGCGCCTGAGCACTGAGAAATGTCTCCAGATTTGTGCGCAGCTGTCGAGCCATATCGATAAAATTCAGCTGATATCTGACGAGACGAATAAATCGTGTGGGTCAACCAGTGCAGATATATCTTCCGAAACTCTCACAAATGAGGGCCTGCAAGATTGCAAAAACAGCTTGGCTGTGACGGCTGCTAAGTTGGAAAAGCATATGCGAGATATCATGGACCGGCTACTGGTAAAATCAAAGACAGCCATTTCGTCCGATGAAGAGGCTCAAGACCTGTCGAAGCTGCGCGATGAATGGGAAACCGCCCGTCAATGCTTGGATATTTGCTCTCGGGCGGACGGTCACCTAAAGGAGAATGTCAGCGTCATTGAAAATTATGGCACCGGCGACGCTTTACAGTTCATGGTCTCCGCGAACGGGAATGTCCTGCACGGGAAGAACCGGGGAGTCGGTTGGAGGAGCAGGCAAGTGGGAGGCTACTTAAGTGACGAGACTATCCAGCAGCTATCGCGAAACCTTGCATCTATGCACACGAGTCCGTTGAGGGGCGAAACTTCCTTCCCGAAGGCCGGGGCCACACCCAGTGCTGACGACACGGTGGAGGGTGAGACGACAGCAGAGTTTCAAGAACGATTTGGGCGAGGCTTTACGCTTAAGCCGATGGTTTCACCGGATACACTCACGTCGTCGCCAGGAACAAGCAGCGACTGGGTAGAAACGCCGAGAAGATGAGTAGCTTTGACTCATGCATCTGCAGTCGGTTATTCAGTGTACTACTGATGCTTTCTTTATGGCTTTCATCTAGGTTATCAAATAAACCACTTGAATGAATCTACGGTGATGCCCATAGGACCATATCGTGCATTGATTGTCAATATCACTGATGTCGAGTGCCACCGAGGGATACACGTACATCTGTGCTCGTGAGCATTAAAATGAGGGAAAGACCCATTTTGTTTATCGTCCGGCGAACCTGGAAACTTTGAAGATACTTTTTGCTGCGTCGTGTGCGCAATATGCCCTTGGTTCTCGTATCTGGCTTTTTCTCGCTTGTGTAAATTCAAGAAAAAATTAACGGAAGCAGTGGCTTCTATGGGGCTCTATTAAATCCTATTGGAAACTTCGGATTGCTCGTGGGAGAGGCTAAAGTCAATGAAGAAGCGTCAGTCTTCTGACCAAGGTTGAGGTGCATCGAAGACCGCTAATTTGCAAGCAAAGTCATCTATTGAGGCCGAAGGCGCAGCCCACACTGCACCAACCCAATTAACCCGAGCTTAGAAATGGTATCTGACCAATATGTCTTGCGGTATCTAGGCTCATATTATGTGGGCAATCAATACCGAAGTGATAATCTCCCGAATTGTGAGGTACTTCCTTTCAACATCTCACCAGATCTTACCTCACAACTCTGCCGAGATTCAATGGCCTGTGTTAGACTTATTCTGTCTAATCGTGGCTTAAAGCCGGGTATATATGGTGGAGTGTTGGGGTGACATATGCCTGTAAAACCTACCATGAATCATAATGACGGCTAGAAATGTAGTCATATTTTTTAGCCTGCTCCATCAGTATTATATAATCGACGAGCCGCAGGTTAATAATAGGCTAAAGCGCTGGGTTTTGTGGCCTTGAACTTTGGCTCTTTCGGAACCTCGAAAGGCTACACTCCCTCAAATCACCACTAGTGTAAAAGACGACATCAAGCGCCTAGAACGTTTGCAGAGGAAGGCGCTGGACAAGATTGTTATGACATTTCTTGAAGTAATTTACCAATCGGTCCACTTCGAGGTATATGCAGCAAAAAGTGTCCATTCCAGAGTCTCTTGTCTATCACGCCACTATAGGAGACTTTAATTTATCTCTGCGGGTCCAATGTTACTCCATGAGATACACTAATATGGTATAGGTAGCAACCAATCCAATCCTACAGTATCTGATGCGAGATCTCAAAAGGCAGCAGACCCTAGGTGCTCAAGGAGACTCCAGGAGCTGGTCTACTTACTCTGTCCTAAGATATCGGGCTCATTATCCGGGGCCGTGGACCAATGATCTACTGTATAAACATCCATCAATCTTGATTTGTTAAAGAATTCAAAATAGTGACCCCAGACAGAGTATAGCCCCAGGACATCGTACTTAGCTTGTAAGATTATCCCACTATCAGAAACCCAGTTAAGTTCCTCTTTACAACTCTAACAGCCCTGGTAATGCATGGCTTCGCCCTGCGGGTGATCTTGCTCCCGGAGACTTCAGTGCTGTTGCTGGGAGCAAAGAAGCAGCTTCCGGGAGCCATGTAGCCCCCAGGAATCCAAATGTATCTTGTAGGGTCTTGTGCCTCCACCTTGAGAAACCAAAGCTATGTTCCTGTTGACAATATTTGTCTATTAAATTTATACACAAGCTGGTTTTAATACGTCGTGAGGCAGTAAGGATAGAATTATCGAGACTTTACTGCCGGCTTGCGAGCTGTGTTTTCTGCCGACAAATTCCGTCTCCGCGCCTCACGGGGTTCCCCATTCAGCTGAACACACTGTCGGCATTTGCCCGTATTTTCATCTGAAATATTTCTTGGAACAGGGCCATTCCTTTACAAGACGGCCATCTTAAGCGTATCTTGTTTTATGAGCAGGAGTAAGCAAGGGATGGCGCTTGCCATGGCAAAAAAGAAAGCATCACGTGATTCTATGGTATGTTAGTCATTGGGATGTCATCAAGGAGTCACTCACTCCCCCGCTTTCAGAGCTGAATCGTTATATTAGCACGACAGCGATGAGCAACCCTACCGAACCATCTGAAACGAGCCGAGAGGGCGTTCCTGACTCCACAATGCAGTCAGACATTGAACGCCGAAACATCTTTCAAAATATCAACGCAGACGCGAATGTGTTCCAATTTATCGGCTCCACGAATGGGCATACAACGACAGCTCGACACATCACCGCCCAGCAATACGCTACTCAGTGTATGGGAGATTTATCCGACAGTTCACTTCGACAAATTTCAATGAACCGCAGTGCTATTGCAGCAAAGAAGCAAACCAACCACGATCATAAGACGGGATGTTTCGATGGGCCGGGTTACAAGTTACGCTGACTCGTAGGTATGCCACCTCAATAATCGATCGGGTGAACAGTCTAACCAAAGCATTCACTGAAAGCAGTCTGTTATGGAGAAAAAAGGGATTTGGTTAACAATATCTGTCAATATCCAAACGGAATTCCAATTAAATTGACATATTGTATTATTGCCTTATTTATTGCGAGGTCCTACATCAATAGTCCAAAGAGATAACAAGAATCTTTGACACGGGACGCTGAACGCTGAAATATAAGTCACACATTTTTGTCATTTTGGCCCCAACGTTCTCAGATATACCCGCATAGAAAGAGACCAATGCTAATGTAAGATTTGTCGTTCATCCTTGACACCCTAGTTTTGATTTAATTAGTCCAGAACAGTAGGCGCTATCAGGGCTGCTAGAGCCCATCACAAACTTGATACAGCCACGGCGCTAAATGTGACATGTGGGCCATTATTTACGTACGACTCGGTACGAGGCTCCCATTTAAACACGTGAAATTCATATTCCCCGCCTTCCACCTCCCCGGCTTCAGCGGAAGTGTCCCTTCTTGCACTTAACTCCTACTACGACCTTGGTAGCGACCTAAAAACGTGCGTCCTCGATGGCAGATCCTTTGAGTATCACTGCTTCGGTATTGGCCGTCATTAATGCTGCCGTCCAATCGACCAAGTCCCTCCACGAAGCCGTTTCACGCTTCAAAGGCCGAGACAAAACTTTAGGGAGACTTCAAGATGAACTCTACGACCTCACGAAAATCTTGAACTCGTTAAAGCAAGTCGCCGACGTGGAGGCGTCAATGTTGGATCTCTTGCAGGGTCCAGTTGACCGATGCAGCCAAGTCTGCCACGAGTTTGAAGAAGCGATGGAGTCTTTCTGGCGAAAGTCGAAGACAGGATTTAGAGATTGGGCAAAGATGGAGTTTATGAGAGGGAATATCAATGAATTCATAGACATACTATCGGGGTATAAATCCACGATCTCAATCGGTTTAGGCACCATCACCATGTTTGTTTTGCCAACCTCACCTTGTCATTTTATTTTTGCTAACTTTTCTATGAGACACACCGCCAAAGTCTCTCAGCAAGTTCTCCAAGATTACAATGAGATGATACAAGATACAGTCTATAACCTTGAAGTTTATCTGCAACGAATTGATGGGAAAATGGGACATCTTACCATGGACAACACAAGTGCCTCCGGCTCAAGCGTCGATCTCAAAGACGAAAGAGAAGTGACACAACAATGCATCCGAATTTGCGAGGATGCGAAAAGTTACATTGCTTGTTTGTCAAACCGAGAATCATCTCTTCTGCAAGAAGGGCCAGACAGCGACGCTAAAGTTGATGGGCAAGGTTGCTCCGAGGCGCAGCTGCTCACACGCCAAGCCCTGGAAGAGAACCGAGATAATTTTGAGGTGATTATCGGGAAACTTCGGGATCGCTTAGAGTCTCTTCTTCTGAGAAATGACCCTAATGACGAGACCGAAAGATCACGTTTACTGGGCGATATCAACGCTTCTAGGCAGTGTTTGGAGATATGTAAGATGGCAGACGAAGTTTCCTCTCGAAAAATATATCGAATTGGGGAGGTGATTGCCGACGGCGACAGTGATCAAGTAGTGGTGACTACTTTGGCTGATTTATTCGATATCAAGAAAGCACTCTCCAAGGATAACTCGGCACAATTGGTTGGCTCGATGACTGAAGATGCACTTCGACATTTGACCGAAAAGCGGTATAGCAGTCGGTTCGGAGCATTCAACCCAGTTGAAGCCGCCAGCACTAGATCACCGCCAGTCATCGAAACTACCAAGGGTAGTCATGCTTTTCCCTCTCTAACGCCTCATGAGGAGCAGCTGTCTAGACTGACGAAAAGACACAGCAGGCCGTCTTCCAACGAAGTGAGAAAACGGTCGACGCGAGATGAAACAGAGTAAAGCGCCTGTCTATGGACTTCCATGTAGATATGCAGACCTCTCAATAACACAGTCTCCCCGGCTTCAAGTGGGCGGGTCCAAGTCCTTCGTCCATGTCTATTCAGGCTAGCGGCATTTTCCTCAACGGCCCTGGGGAATCTCTGTCGGGTACGCGGACAGTTGCTAGACACGATCGCCCGGCCGGATTTTGGTGCGATAGGCACTAGTTTCCGACTGTCCCTATGGCCTCGTATGGAACCTTTATAATACTTGAGTCAATCGACACTTTCCCCGCTAGGTACGCTACAGACACTGTCCCTGAATTCGGCGTTTCTTTGTGCATAATATATTGGGTGATTGCAATTGAAACTGGTCCATAAGATGGGCGATTTTTCGCAGACACAAGGAATAAAAACTTCTTTTCAGGGTGTGATTTTCCTTCAATTCAAAGTCATTGTAGTATTTCTGCTTTTAAGCAATAGGAAAGATGATTCCAAATACATGTAGCCGATCACTCAATCTCCTCTTGCGTTATCCAAGAACTCTGCGAGACTAAGTCTGGAAGGGTAATTCCAGTCATCAAGTACACTAGCCAGTCGTTCCCGAGATAATTCCAGAGCCTGCTCAAAAAAGCGCAGCCGGGATAGCTGCTTGTCGTGGCGAGCCTGAAACCCATCTCTCTTTTTTCTCAGGTGTGCACCAGCTTCCTTCAAAACAAAGCTGTCCTGCTCTAGTTTCTGGCCATCGATGTTTGGACACGCACGTCTCCCATAGGCGACGATAGAGTCCGACAAGTCGAGCTGCTGGAAAGCCGAACTTGGGATCGTCGCTCTCGAGGTCTGCTAGAACCTTCAAGATGGGTTGAAACGGCTCGGTCGCCAGGGTGTGTCTTGTTCCTGCTTCCTGCTGCGAAGGGGAGGGCTGCATTGGTCAGCAAAAGCCTTTGAAGCCGAATCATTTCACTTACAAATGTGACTTGGTCAGAACTTTCCTGTGATTTGTCTTCCTCGCCAAGGATGGGCAATTCACTGGACGGTTGATCTGCTTCATTCTCCTGGCCTGTCGAGCTGTTTTTTGGGACTCCATTTTGTGCGCAAGAGAAAGTCACGGGTCTGGTTAATACAATTTCCATCGATCCTTAGTGTCTCTTATAGACTGCACAGACGCAGGCGACTATTTAGTGGATTTTACGATTACCACAACTGTTAATTGATGCAGTCAGATTTTGACAAACGTTTTGTTAGTTTTCGGTGGGCTGTTGATAGTGTATTCAACATGAGGGATAGTCGGTCGGGGAAACTTATCAAGTCTCACGATGTTGAGGGCCAGAGATCAACGCTTGTTGATGATATATATTTCACCCAGACACCTATTTCCGTTTCGTTGAACATCTCAGAAATCCGACAAATGGAATATTGTAGAACTCATAGTCACCAAAAAAAGAAAAGTTGAAAAAGAAAACAAATCAAAAAAAAAAAAAAAAAAATGGCGTGTCCTCATACATAAGTTGAGTGTTGACAACGTGTGGCCAAGCTTCAACGGGCTGACGGGTCGAGCACGACCTCGCTTTCTGCAGTCTAGACGGTTAGACCCATAGCTCTACACAACCAACACCACACTAAAGCGAGGTAAAAAAAAAGATCCATATTTCTCGGGATGAAATTGTAGGCGGTTTTCGGTGATTCAACGTTGAGTCACTCACAGGTAAGGTATCAGGACAAGAAATATGAGCGTGTCATTGCGGATTGAATATACTCAGTGCCTCACTTTCGGAGGGACGTGAAGGATTCAACAGTCAGCCACCGCTTTTTGACCAACTCAGCATGCTGTTGCTCAACACGACTATTGTTGTCTCTCGCTGAGCATCTAAATGCATTAAAAACGTCGCTGCAAATAGTTGCGGTACCGGAAGACATGGGTTTTTAACAGGCCTCAATTACGAGATGTACCTAGCGCTTTCTGCCAAGCAGCGCACTTCGGCGACAGGTTGAGCCGGGAAGCCTATAAATACGTCCTCTACCCCCAGCATTTGCTTTACAATTCATTCACCTGACTCTGCAAAATCGAGCAGGCTTGTGTCTGAGTCACTTAATAATTTCTCCCCCTTGACCCAATACTAAAATTTCCACTGTATTGACATTTATAGAATACGTCGTGGGCCAGCTAGTAGTCAGACAGTGCCCGTGAGAGATATGATTCCCATCAGATGCACTGCCATTCACACCAGCCGATCAAAGATACGAGTTTTAAGTTAGTTGGTCCAATTGTCCGTGCGACGAGGTCTCCGCCACAGCAGCCGACTGAGCTCATCTACTGTACAGCCCGTGTGTGCATTCCCAAGAGAAAGCTCGAATATCCACGTCGCAGGTATGTGAATCTTAGCTTGACCTGTCTGAATTTTACTGATCCTGAAGACGATGCAATTTCAATAGAACCGAGGACATTCGACCACGAGGGCAAGAACCAGCTCTTTGCCGTCTCTTTGTCCCTAGTCTTGGCCACCTGAGCGTGTGAGTCATCGATTATGTCGCGAATCCGCAAGCTAATGAATGACAGTGAACCATTGACATCGCACCAAAGGGCGCCGAGGATACAGCATCCCCATTAGTGATCTGCACAAAGCCATAACCTACACACTGACCCCGGCCCCGTCGCTTCAAACCACGCAGCATACACTAGGTGAAGAAGGAACGGTCTAGTAACAGATGTGGATATCCGATTGCGAGCTTCGCTGCGTAGAAGCGCACTAGAATATCAGCCCGTTCAAACTAATGGCTCTGTCAACCCCAAAATCTATTTCTGCGGCAGCGGAATTCTGCTTTGCTTTATTTTCCATATAATTCGGTGCTCTTCATCAACAAGCAATTCTATTACGGTCTCGGTTTCTCTGTTATCCAACCTCTTTTGTTTTGGTACTTCTGCTTGTTGTCATTACTTGCTTGACTCGGGGATGCAGATTTCTTCCTTCTTCCTGCTGGACCATATCGGAATTGTCCTGCACATATGGGGAACGTCCGTGTCGGTCTTGCTCCTAGAGAATTCTGGTAGTGGGAAACGGACTTCCATTATTCTGGGAATCACTCTGGCCCGGGTAATCTGTACCATCTGTTTGATAACCTGGTCAAGGGAGAAGAGAGAACGAGTGCTAGTTATTGGGGCATTTGGAGCATTGGCCCTATGCAGCGTCTCGCTCTATAACGCTGTTTTCTCGAGCATGTCTCGACTGACGGCATCTTATATCTTCTTGGCTCTGGCCAATGGCATCGGAGGGTGGTTCTACTCCCGTGGGTCTATTCAATTGCTGATTCAACTTTCAAGCAAGCCCTATACTGTTTCGGGGCATTCGTTGATGCATCTATGCTCACTTTTTGCGTCAATTTTTCACGCTTCAATTCTGGCATCTTCTGTCTGTATCTGACAGACTTGAGCACCTGGGCGCACGAAAGTCCAATGCCATATGTCCCTAAGTGCACAGAAAGCATTTTGGCTAAAATCAATACTACCGACCTATAGTTCGTCTTGCGAGATGAGGCTGGTGAGGATCAATAACAAAGCCACGCTATCGGAATTGCCCCCTGAAGTGTCAGTCTCATGCATGGAAAGAAACAAAAATCAGCCCCTCGATACCGCATGGTCTTTCTACGGGGCGGCTTCCCGCAAATTGCTCAAAAAGCCATTTGCAGTCAAAGCTATTCAAAGTTCCTAAGAACTCTCAGAAAGCGTTACGACTCCAAAGTCCTATCCTAGAAAGAGCACCCGCAACTGAAGGGCAAAGCCTGACCGCCACCAAGTGAGGTACAGCGGAAACTTTCGGGGATTAGATGATCGAATTGTCTAGTGAAATTGAAAAGCCCAGATGACCTTTGGTGATCTTCATTTCAATCGGAACTTCTATGGTGCCTGTGATGAACAATTTTCGATCCTCCTAGAAAAAAGCTATATGTTTCTAGCAACCCGAAGGTCTCTGCAACTCGGATTTTGCGGAACAATGTTGTTTAGGCAATTTTTCAGCCAATAGGTGTTGATATCGTAGATTCCATGATTGCAGTCAGGTAAGTTTAGTCGCGAACACGTGGATCAATCAGCTGTCGATGTGCCCCACTACTAAGAAAACACACCTGCAGATTCCAGGCTCCTCGTAACAATTGAAGTGACAACTGACGTCCTATGTTGGTTGCTAACTGGACCGAACCGGAATACGAGTACTTAAAGTGTGGTGTTGCTGCCGAAGAGTTGCTTCATGACTCAAAAGCTGATAATATATCTATCAAAGCTTTCACCGGAATACCACCCAAGCATGCTTGAATTGATCCACCATTGACGCCACTATCACCCACATGAGATAATCCAAGGGCCTTAAACTAGGTCAAGCTTGGAACATAGAGGAAACCGCTGTCTAGACTAATAAGTCTCCCGGGTGGAGAGAGATAACGTAAAATCAATTCGTTTCTAGATATGAACCAAGACCAGTCTACTACAACATTGATGAATTTCTTCTTGAGTTTCTGCAACCCCTTACTCTATTTTGCATTCAAGGCACGAAGAATTTTAGATTAAAATCGACAAAGAAATTGGGGTTCTACAATGCAGTCAACGGCATGGTCTGTACATCCCTAAAGCGATGCCTCTTTGCCAACTCTTCAGAGAATTTATCAGGTAGCAGAACAAGCGGGGGTAGGAGCGATCTGGAAGTTAGTCGAAGACGACTCGGAAATCGATGGCAAAGTCTTCCGCGTCATCAAAGAGGAAGATGCCTCGGTGTAGGATGACTTGGTGGATGGCGACTTGGTGGATGGCGACTTGGCGGAAGATCCCAGATCTGAAGCAGTACACCGGCTGTCATGCTTGAGTCCATTGTCCAATGTACATGTCGAGTTGTCTCCCTGAAAATTGAAGAACGTGACCACACCGGTCTTTTCGACCTTAACCCATGCAGCTGATGAATCATTTTCCGTGCCGCAAGTGTCCGAGCCACGCATAGGGTAGCCTGGATGAGTGCTGTTGGTGACTTTGTCCAATCCTATAAATTCATTAGTATATTTTTTTTTTTTGATTTGCATGTTTGGCAGTAACTTACTTGAACAGTCATCCCCATCAAGTTGGCTGAAGAACGCGGAAGACCCTGTGCAGCCATGGTTGTCATAGGACCTTATCGCGCATTGTTTATCAATATCAATGATCTCAAGAGTGCCACCAAGGGACGCCCGTGCATACGCACTCGCAAGAATCACAATGAGGGAGAAACGCATTTTATTTATCGTCCAGCGAACCTGTAAAGTTTGAAGATACTTTTGCTCCGTCGTGTGCGCTATATGCCCTAGGTTCGCGTTTCTGGCGTTATCTCGCTTGTGTGAATTCAAGCGAAAGGTTGGCAGAAGTAGTGGCTTTTAAATAGTTCTATTGAGATACCCTGGAGACTTCGGATTGCCCGTTGGGGAGGCAAATGTCCAAGTATGAGTGTCATCTGACCAAAATTGAGCTGCGTCAGAGACCATTAATTTCCACGCATCATCGCCTCATGTGGAGTTGAGAGATCAGCAATTCGGTCCCGAGCTAGTGGTATTTGCGGGTACGCAAGCAAAATAAATATCCGATAGCCCGTCTAAGCGTTTGAATCGGCTTACTAGAGCACAAGGGGAGAAACTACTCCAGTATTAAGGCTGGCCGACCATCTTGGTATTGTTGACTCAAGATGAGAGGTAGGACAATTGAGAGATCGAGAAAATTTCCCAGGCCGGGGAAGTAGAATAGCCTCGGTTGCTACGGGACGTATGTATGTATGTATGTATGTATGTATGTATGTATGCCTTCAACTTGTAGGTGCAGATGTATGAGAGAGAACGGTAGCACATAATAGTCATGTAGCTGAATAGATGTCAAATTGGAAAAATTGGCGGGCCTAAAGCGTAACGTTCATCCGAAAGTCTCTGTGGCTCCGTACCTATTTATACGCTGTATTGTATATACAAACGCATGGCAATTGACACAGCTCACGTCCGACAAACCTACATGATGAAATCGATCGGTTCGAACCTGTGAAAGGCCTCTAACTCAATACTGTATCTAAGAAGACATAGAAGAAAAGTAATTTTGAACTACCCCATGCTTGGCTTGTATTAACATAGGCGAGTCGTACGAGATAGGGAATTTCCGGCTCACCCAAACTTAGCGCAGAAAAGTGGCCCTCGGAAAACCCGATTTAGCCCCACGGCCAAACCAGCGGTTTCAGCTCCATTTCAGGTAGCCTTGTGGGCCTAACCGCGATGAGAAAACACCATGATAGTACCCCTGCTGTTCCACTCACTCTCTTGAATGGCCTTTTTGTTGTAGTTCAGAGGTATGAATTGTGTTAAACTTTTCTTTCTTCTAGAGGAAAAGATGAGGTTATATATACAATACGGAACCAAGTTGATTTCTGATCACCTTGGTTGTCTGTATAGACATCTCGGAGCTAATTCCGATGGTGCGGCTTGCTTCCTGATCTGAACCAGCCTCATATCACAACATTCCCCCTCAGGATCGCTTTGCTAGAAAGGCGATACTGGAATTGCGCAGAGCAGTCAGGCCTCGGTAAAACCATCCAAAAACCTTCGTGGGAAAGTAAAGTCGAAAGAGCGTCTGCGCTGTCACGCGTTTTGCCTCGAAGCCTCTGAAGTATCGACTCCTAAGAGAGTATAAAATTTGGCAAAGGCAGTAGGTCCCAATGGCTTCGTGAGACCGTCTGCGGCCTGTTCCCCAGTAGGAATATACTGAAGCCCAATCTCGCCTGCATCCAACACGGCTCGCTGATAGTGAAATTTCGCATTGAAGTGCTTGGTCCGTTTGTGGAATTCAGGATTGAGGTCCAGCTGGCTGGCGGAGTATTCAGGACCAATCGAGGGTAAGCGACCGTGCGGCGAATCCAGTCGGGGTTCTTTCTGACGCGATCTTCAATATTGTCTATCACTTCCACCATTTAAGAAGTGGTGGTCTATTCTCTGAGACCGTTGGGAGGGGGAGGGTGGTGGCAATGCGACAGATGAGCTGCTGGAGCCATCATTGTGTGAAGGTTGCGATTCACATATCTTGCACGTTTTTACTACTTCAAATTATCCTGCTATCTGCGTTTGTCTACGGAAATAAAACACCCTCCATATCAGGGTGTGCCTTCCAGCGAGAGTAGAACCAGTGAGTGGCCCTATCCTTGGGGCGCCTGGAAGCAAGCCGAGAATCATGTTATTTCCAACGTCAGGTATAGTAGACAGACTACGGAAAATGAACCTGTCGGCCCTTACCACGAACAGCTGATCGAATTATGACGCCGATGCTGCGTTTTAAGAGGACTTTTGATTGAGTCTTTGGGGGCACCATGAGAGCCTAAAAGACCTATTTCCAACATCACCGAGAAGAGCAGAACTTTCTTAATCGATATTCCCGATCCCCGCCCTTCATAATTCGACCAGGTAATAGCCATGCTTTCCAGCTGAGGCCTCTTTCTTGCCCACGGGCGGGGGAGAATGAACCAATTCTCATTTCCTTGATGGCCCGTTGGCATTGCTCTTGACGGCACGAATCAACCACACCGGAAAAAGCTTTCACAACATTAGTCATTGTTTTTGCAGATGTCTCAAAAAAGCCGCATCCAATTTCTCTGGCAAGGTTCCGGCCTTCTTCAACAGAGACAACCCGATCTTTTCTCTTGTCGCTTTTGTTCCCAAGTAAGAGTATTGGAACAGAGACTGGAAGCGACACAGAAGATAATGAATCTGATAAGTCGGTCTCCGTGGGATTATAGGAACAGGCAGACTTGGCAAATTGCATTTGGTCGTATAGCTTGGAAATTTCCAGGAACGATTCGCGTGAGGTGACACTGTAGACAAAGACCACACAGTCACCAGTGTGGATCCATTGGTCATTAAATTCGTGGCCAGTCTCCAGCATTTCGAGCATGTATACACTTTCGCCGACATGAAATTGTTTGAGGTATGAGTCTTGTATCGTAGGAGTGTGGCATTCGAGAAAGCGATCATAACAAAGCTAAATAGGAGAGTATTAGCTCAATCCCATAATTCATTACAAAACCTCGGGAGCTGACCTGATTGATAAGGGTCGTTTTTCCGACACCACGATCGCCCAAAATCTCCACCTTGCACGAAGTCATCCCACTTGTTTAGATGGCCTTAGTACTGGCTTTGCTGGCTGAGAAAAGGGGTCAAGTTACGAAAGAAGGGCAGTGAAGAGGAGGGGTTTAATTCAAGCCAAATTCACTGTTCAATACAAGTTTTAGTAACATGTGAGTCTACAACATTAGGATAACTATATCGGTGAAATCTCGGAACGCCTTGATCGCCACACTAGAATCTCCGATAATAGTTTCTACCAAGACTAGATCAGCCAATTAGAATACATGTACCGAATAATCCGTGGTAATGATGAAAGCCGCGCCGATAACGCCTCCGGCTAATTTCTTGGCATCCAGGCTCAGCATCGGAGACTACTCTAAGCACGGAGCTTCTTGAGGATGAGGCGAATTAGTAACCCATCACCAACGGGACATCAGGCGACAAACTTCACACATGATTGGTTTTGGTCCAGGTTGCAGATTGTGTTCTGGGAAATTCGGAGCACCTGATGGACTGTTCTCGCAGGCTAGCAAAACTCTAGCAGATTAATATTGGTCAAAATTGATGACGCACGGTACTGGGGGAGGGTACGAACGTAGAAATATTGATGAACTGTGCTGAAGTTCCGTATTGAAGGCCCAGTTTTGTAGTTTTTCGCTTTGTTTCCGAGGCGGATTTAGAATTAGTGGTTTGTTGACTAGTTACGGGTTTTCAAGGTCGCTCTTGTTTAATTGATACAGTTTTCTCCCCAAGTCTCCCCCAACTCGATACTTCTCCCCAATCGTGGATTTCTCCCATAATTCGGTAGTCTGATCCCAGTGGATGATGATTTCGGATATCCCAACTTTCTCAGCGTGAACACGAGCTTCACGGACATCATTGCGATAGCAATCAATATAAAGGACCCAAAGACTGCCCGAACCAAATGCCTGCTGGTCCGCAACCAAATTATAAGCCGCAGTGACAGTTCTTTGTAGGCAGAATGCCATATCTTCGATGAATTGAAGCGAGCCCTTCTCCCATGCGCACGGATTGCTTTTCTTTTGTTCGTGGAGATCTTTCTTGAATTCCTTTCGAAAATGCTCGACCTCTTATCTTGTGAACGTCTGCTTTGGTCACTCATACGCCCTGCGATCTCCGGCATTATGTCGTAAATACGCCGCCAGTCTGCGCCGAAATCAAACATATTTTTGTCGTCAAAAACAGCGCAAGGCGGTATTCTCTTAGAAACAAGAGGATCTATAAGCCAACTGCGGAATGTCTCGTCATTTCCTGGTCTGTAACATGTCCTGAGTAAAATCGGCGTTTCTTCTGCGAACAAAAACCGTGCTTGTCGTCGAAGCGCATCGGGTCTCCATGGTCGAAGAATGGTATCTATCTGCATGGTTGTGGGCTTAATATGCGTACTTGCAACAGCCCATTTTCTCGGGATTTCTTCGGAATCGAGATATTTCCGGATGAGCCGAGATCTCTGCTCTTGATGAGGATATTTCGAAAAATCACTCCAATTCATCTATTCTCAAATTAGAGATAAGACGCTGTGAAGGCTGGCACAACGACTCACCAGCAGGTATTGTTCAGCAGCCAGAGAGCCCCAAGTGACAAGATCATCATCTGCCATATTTTGGCCGATTCGCGTTTCCGGAGATGCTTGTGGAAGTTGAAAAGCGTCAAAAAAGCGAAGAGAAAGACATGGCTAAAGTAATGTTGATCAAAGTGGCGATTGTTGGCAGTGCCTCCGCAAGAACGAGTGTTTTTGATCGAGGTGACGCCCCAATTCGTCGACCGCTAGCACTAGGCTCCCCCAACAAGACACAGCGGCCGCACTTTACATCGCCCGGAGAAATTTTCTCTACAGGAAATAATTCATCATTGCGTGCAATATTGTCGGATGGTATTTGGCCTCCTGCATCGGAGCACAAAGATCTCAAGCACTAGTGGCCAGGTGCCCAGACAAGACTTACGTTGCTTGTTGCAAAGTGAGTTGTGACTGTAGTGCGAACTCCACTGATTGACCACCAGCGAACGATAGATAACACAGAATCGATACATCTACTGTCATGTTGGTGAGATGGCAAGAAAGGGCTCGCGCTAAGGCGGCCGTGAGAGGTTGACCCAGTCACATTCACCGCCCGACTACCACATGAAGACTCTCGTCAACGACCATCAACGACCGTCAACGACCATCATCGCTCTACTCCTTATGGAGGAGATACATTCTCTTGCGGCGCGGAGACTAGCAGACCGGAAACTATCAAGATACGACGGCTGGTGGGTTTGATGTCTGTCACAGCACTATTGGGGTGTAGAACCTTTGACTATCCCGCACAGACTATACTGAATTATCCACCCCTAGAAGCCCTTTTATCCTGTTTTCTGAGGGAAAAAATTTCAGAAGATGCCTGCTAGGACCGCATGTGGATTGGAGCACCCCTGTAAATATCACCAGGTCCTGAGCGGTGATCGTGAAGTGTCGTTACCAGCTCTGACTACGCAAAAACCTAAGCCTATCGCATTATCATCTTGAAGTGAGCCCACAATTCTTATTTTCGATCTTATTTTCGAGACACATCACATGGCTCTACACCTCATGGTTCTGATCTTGAGCGTACAACATATCCCATGATCATAGTTGAGCGATTTTTAAACTAACGTAGATCATCTCATTTTAAGTTATAAGCTTTACATCAAAGAGTGACGACAGGTAATCAGAATCGCCTGGCCGTATCAAAATAATGCAATTGAGATTTCCATGCTGTGGGTGACATGGCAAGAACCCGCGCTGCCTCAGATGTTGACCACAACTCTCTTCACCGCCCGACCGTTGACTACAACAGTAATACCACATCCACACCAAGTCAATCCAGCACCAAGGTTCATCAGCTGGTTCCTCGTCGATCATCTCCAACCTCGCGATTGCAACGCTGCTATCACACTTTGATGAGAGCCCGGGCACATGAAGCACCGGTTGCTCCAATTAAACACCATGCGTGAATTTAGACAGACGCATGTACGGTTCTGCGAATACTGCTCCGCACGACATTTCGAACTATTCGAAGTTCGCGAATTTGATACATCGAGTCGAATTCGAACCTTGGATTTCCGACTCCGAATCTATGGGCGATTCGATTCGTCAAAATTCGCGAATTTCGAACAGGTTCGCGAACTATAGGGGTTTACTCATGCGGACAGCCATAACCTCAACACCTCTAACCACTGCATCCATTGGATTCGCACATAGAAGGATGTTCTAGGTATGGTTCATGACTTTTTATTCTATGCTGTAAAAACTATCAGTATGTAGCTATTCAGACTTCCAACGTCCAGCATATTTCAGTTTTATTAAGGTCCCAAGCGTCCTTCCCTTCATGGATAAACGTCGAATTTCAAGAACATCTCTCCCATGATTGAACAGCCTCTCGATAACCACCTCTGTTGCTGGTATAGCAAGGTGATCTTTTACTATCTGGGCCTTGCAGGTAAATTCAAGCCTATTAATCTTCCATCAGTTTCGAATGAATCCAGTCTGGCTCTGGCTTATATCGAAACCAGTGCTGATTGTAGGCGTATCGAAGAACTGGTCGATGTCAGACTCAGCGACGTTACACTTTGTAGGCTGAGAGGCTTCCAAAAATCGATATTCGAAGCTCTTGTAACTTGTGTGTAAAGCAATCAATAGAGGCTGTTTTGGAGTGGGATATGCTTTTTCGAGGAACATTCTGATTCGGTCAATGGTTAACTCTCCATCTGGTAGCGTTTTGAGCCACTTGGTCTTGATCCGAGGGTCTAGAAGACTTGCGGTATAGTATATGTCATTGTCTTTGACGCAGTCGTGGTAGTGCTCCAAAAGTGTATTTCCATCAGATATAGGAATAGTCAGAGCTGTCGAGACATTCTGCTAATCACCTCGCCGTTCCTTAATAGCCAAGGGTATAGAACGGGGCTCTTCAAACATCCGCGCTGCCATATGAATTGAGGGACTATCCCGAGGGACGTACTCTGTATATTCGTTGAACGGAGCCAAGTCCTTCTTGGTATCTGGGAACTGTCTCCAATCGTTAGGTGTGAAACGTAAGACTTCATTATCTTGCTCATCGTGGAGTGTTCCTTCGAGCTGCCCGACACTCTTCAGCTCTCTCAATCATAACAAAAGTAGAGTTTCATTGAGTATCAACATCGTAGTGGATGGCTTCTGTACAGCCAGGCGTGGTTTGCCTAGTGCTGACCCATTGCAAATCCATTCTCTTGAAATTCCGAGGCGGCTCGGTCGGATTGGGAAAAACGCTAAACACGCGCGCTTGGTCGATGCTGATTTTCTGTAAATCCTTTTCTTTCGGCACGCAAGGAGAATTGGGATCAAAGTTGAGGCCAATGCTTAGCGAGGGCAGTAAACATGCTGATCGAGTACTGTTTACTTTATCATTGACCGTCATCCCTGGATGGTTGTATGTCGAGATTGCCATTATGTATGCAGTATAAGTTGACTCTTGACGACCGTGGTTGAACACTATGTGGTTTGGTTGCAAGCTGAGGGACCTGCCCTTTGAAATACCACGGCTTGTGAATAACTGCAGACTTGGCTGGTTCTGTGGCAGCGCCCTACAGGACGTGTAGGTCTGGTCAAAATCGATGCGGCGATAGTGTCAGGCGAGGCAACCGTTTCTCGATATCTCGCACCATTCTTGCTTCGGACCCTCATTCATTCACTTGAGAATAGTCGTCGCATGTTTTCGTGATCATCGAACCCTTTCGCGCCTACTTAGTCCACTTTGGTGCATAGTGGGATTCAAGAAGTAGCAGATCTCAGCGTAGTCGCTGAAGCAATATATCTGTATGACATTCACTATCTTTGGGTTGCTAGCAAATCTTGCTATGTTTTCTGTTTACCCCATACATGCTCTGTGGACTGTGGTATATTGTTAGAGAGACAGTATCTGTCGGATCCGAGGGACGCAGGCACTAGTGCTCGAACAAGCACCAACAAAAAACAGACCAAAAAACGAGTGATTCAACATAATTTACTACCCTCTTTGGTTTG